TCCCCACCTCCTGAGTAACTAGGATTACAGACATGAGCCACTGCACTAGCTCTATTCCTGTTTTCCTTATAGTGATACAAATGTTGATATCTGAAGATGTTATTATAAATACCCAACTCTACTGAGGCAATGCCCACTTCTGCTCAAGAAATAGCTTCATAAAATTATTTTGCCAGGTTTTGGTGGGAGAACTGCTTTGCTAGGGAAGAACATTCTTGTTCACAGCCCAAACTGTGCATGGTAATTGAACAACTCATCCTTAGGGAGCAGGTTTCTCTCTGGGCACAGCAAAACCACCAAAAGTCCACTTTGGTGGACTAACCAAAACCCTGATCCGACCAGAGGTACATACTCACTGGAAAAAAACAGGTAATTTGTAACAAACAATAAGAGCAAACTATACTCCTAAATTCATCCAGAAAAAATAAATAGTTTGCAGTAATTTGAATAAAGCTTTTTAGGTAAATTTCAGAAAATGAAAAACAATTCTTATTAAAAAAGGAAAGGTAAATTGTAGAAAATCCTTCAGTTACTTTGCAGGCTCAACCTGATTGACTTGTATTCCATTTAGATTTGAGAATATAAGAAACAAAACTAAATTTAAAATACTTTTAAAAATATGGTCTCCTTCCCATATTAGAAAAGGCTTATTTAAATAATTGAAAATCTAAAGTGTACAAAACAGTGTATTGTCTTTGTGCACTGATCCAGTAAGACTCTGCACTGTACTGTAATTTGGCAGGCAATATTTAATCTTCAGCCTAGTTATACTTCGGTGGTCATAATATCCCAAGTATTTTTCCAGCCTCTATCTATCTTTTTCTAGACCAATGCCAAACTTTGTGTTCTTGTGTGCTGGGCCACTCCCAATCCTTTGATATTGTTTAAATACATGAGTCACCAGGAAAAAGAGGTTGGGATTTGAGCAGGAAACTAGTGTCCACACTGAAGATGCAGCAAACCTAGCAAATAATCCATGAACTCAATGCCCAGAATATCATAAAATCAGCTGGAAGGAAGCTAATTACCTAGCTCAATGCCATGGCTTTGCAGGAGTACATCTAAAGTATATTGACGGAATGATTTGGCCAAGGTGACAAAGATGTTAAGCAGGACAAGACCCCAACTGATGGTTAAGACAGGACTATAATCTTGACTGTCTGAAATCTTCATACATGACAGTATGCTCAGGGAGGAGGCTGTCCCCATTCCTAGCCCCAGTGTAAGTCCAGATTGGCCTAAGCCAATTGCAATGTTATCGTTCCTTTCACCAGTGATTGATTTAGACATGGACATGGGAAGTAAGACTTATGAAGAAATCTACTGGGAGTCTTCTGGGAAAGAAAGAGATATGCAGGCCAGGCCAAAACAGCTTCTTCTTTCTCGGGATCTGGATTTGCTTGGACATGTTGCCTGCAGAGTGATCATCAGCACAGACCTCAGGCTCTGGGCCTGGGCAAATCAAAAGGAGGAAAAGACTTGGATTTCTTAATGACACACTTAGTTCTCTGAATTAACCAGCTTTATAACTGCCATTCTCTGGGACATCTTGTTATGTCAGATAAGAAATGTCCTTATCAATTAGCCCAACTGCAGCTGCAGACATCAAAAATGCTGAAGCCCAATACTGCCTCTAAAATTGTACCTCTCGGTTGTACTCTTCTTGGACACAACTGGCCTGAGGTGTGGCTAATTTTAGGCAAACTCCTTAAAGTCATCACAAAAGGAGGTCGAAGAGCATTTTCTTAAAGTTCACAATGCAGCATTGCTTGAGATAGCAGTTGCTGAGCAAGTTCTGTGTGAAATGACAGAAGGGAATAGGATATTAGCCTTAAACACACCTTAAGGACTTGAAGTAAACAAAGTAAGAGCATGGTGATGGGGGTGGAGGAAGGTAAGAGAAATTGCCATCCAGTCATCAAATTCATCTCCTCTTCTTCCTAGGCCCCCAGCCAAACTGCATTATAAAACCTCCCCAGAGATTAGGTTCTAATCTGAGGAATGCAGGAAGAAAGAATGCATGCCACAAACAGAGCAAGCCATAAAAATCTTTCAGGCATGCTTTTTAGGGCTCTTTTCCTCTTTTAGCTGGTTGACTAGGAAATGACCTCAGGAATGACCTTGGAAATGTGAATGAATATGGAACCCAGGTTTCTATGTTCTACCTTTCCCCACCAGCTGTTGAGGAATATCCACAACAGACATTAACCCTGGACAAGATGAAGACTTTTGTCTTAGAACCTCTGAGTTTTGAAGGTTTGTTGCAATTGCTAGTATTACAAGAATAATTAATACAGCAGAATTACAGAGTTTTGATAAATTGATATGATTACGGTGAACAAGTGGGTTATGTAATCAAAGCTGATAAATAAGGAAAATGGGTCAGACAGTATCTCACCCAAAACACCCAGGACGTGAATTGTGGAACTGGCCTAGAACTAAACTGTTCTGGGTCCAAGCAGAGGTTTCTCTGGAATCCCATCTGCTAAAAAAGGTAAATCCCAACTTGTTTCCAAGTCTTGATATTGACCAAGATACATCAGAAAAGATGAATCCTGTGTGAACTAAGCACTAAGGATTATAGTGTTGCTACTAATTGATCCCTAAATGTGCTCTCCTTTTTTGCTTTATTTTAAATTGAATTTGCAAGAATTATTATGTGATTCATATCTACTAATGTTTCAGTGAAAATTAACTTTCTGTAGGTTGATCTGAAATACTGCTAACAATATTAATAACCCTTCTTAGCACATAATGTATCTTTTTAATGAATTCTTAATAGTATTTAACATTAGCTTTTCACAGTATCAAAATTAAGCAACCATGATCTTCCTCCATTTAAACAAATTTTCTAATTAAAAGTTAATATGTTTTAAGCCAGGCACTGGTAACTCATATCTGTAATCCTAGCCACTAGGAAGGCCAAGATCAGGAGGACTGTGATTCAGGGCTAGTGGGGCAAAGAGTTCACAAGACCTTCCCTTCAAAATAACCAAAACAAAATGGATTGGAGGTGTGGCTCAAGTGCTAAAGCACCTGCTTTGCAAGCACGAAACTCTGAGTTCAGACTCCAGTCCCACCAAAATAATAACAATAATACATTTTTGTTATTGAAAAGTAATTTAAAAATCACTCTTAGAGCTAGGTTTTCCATTGTTGAAAAAGAAGCAAGGAGAAGGAGGGGAAGCTATTATGATCTATGTGGCAATACAACAGAGTTAGGAGCATCAAATATAGACTCATATTTAGCTTTAGCTTAAGATAGTTATAAAAGAACCATTGCATCCACCAATTTATTCAACGGTGTGTTTTCCTAAAATCTTACTGTATATTCACAAAAAGACTATTTCTCACAAAATTTCATGTAAAGATTGTGTCTGAGTAAACTTAATGCATAAAGAGGCTGCAGAAAATGAGTGATAGGTGCATTTCCTCTTTGTTGTATAGCCAAAATTTTCTGATCATGTGACACTAGTGGAATACATTATATGAAATGGTATGAAAATCAGACAGTTGGATACAAAGGAGACTTCCCACTGAAGGAGAGAGAAAGGGAGTCTATGAATGCTGCAGATGCACTGAGTTCAGCTGAACACAAGGAAGGCAGTAAAAGATAATAGGGTGGAGTTCCTAGAAAAATCGGTGAGTTCTCAGAAGCGGAGAGTGTTGTGGCAAGAACCCGTGGAGAACTATCAAGGACATTACAGATGCCATTCCTGAATTCAGTGCAATTTAAACCCAATGGTCGCCAAGGTTACTTTCAATTTTAAAAAGCTGGAAATTTTCTTTTAGTCCTTTTTATGTCACCATCCTTTAGAGTCTCGTCCATAGCATCATTCTCATTTCTGAACACTCTGCTGTTTCATTGGTTTCTTAACTGAAGAAGTAAATCCACTAAAAAACAACAGCACAGCAAAGACATCTATTCAGAGGATAGAGTTCCTCAGCTTTAGCTGGTTTGCATGCATAGATGGAAATTTCTCTAAGCATCTAATGAAAACTCTGTCCTTTCACTTTTATTAAGAAAGTGTGCACAAAACATCCCTTGTAGCTGCATCTTCTCTATAAAATCATTCTCCAAAGAAAGGAAACTTTAGAAATCAGGTCTCCAGTTCACAATCAGACTTTAGAATTTGTCCTCAAGATATCTTCCTATCCATCCCCCCAACTCTGAACCTGTGAATGCTCCAATAGGTTTAAAAGGAAAAGACACACAGATGCAGTGATTCATATTAAAGGTTTTGAAATTGATCTAATCTGTGAGAGTTCCTCACCTTCATACTTTTGGGCACTGAGGGGGAATACAACGAAGGAGATCCACTCTATGTTGGTTTTTCAAATTCTGCTCGCAAGAGAAAATATAGGTAGCCTAAACTAAATGGCTTGAAACAGTCCGCGGAGAGGAGGAGGATGAAGGAAGGGGGCTGAAACCAGCATCAAGAACTTTCTCAGTACAGATGTGGCTGTCGTATTTGATGAGAAATCACACATTGCCTGTAGAGCTTCACTTTCAACACACCACACCACACCCACCCACCCACACCCCCCACACACACAAGGCACAGGAGACTTCTATTGGCAAATGCCTCCTCTCCAACCTCCAGAGCAAGACAGGGATCCAGACAGCTCCAATGCACCACGGATAAATGGGGTCTCAGGCAGCTCTCCGCTGCAGCAGACGACTAGTGTGTGAAATGACCGCGTGGAAGGTGTTGCAAGGAAATCCCTTGCATGCTCTGTGGCATGTTAAAAATGCAGCATCATCCTCTCTGCTCTTTTCTTTAGCCAAAATGCAGAATTCCAGGACACAGGGAACGTGGAAGAGCAAGAAAGCTGCCTCCCGGAGCCCTGGGGCTCTCTCCCTCCACGCCCCCTCCTTCTTAGATTCTAATTGCCCCTGCTCCAATGGGCCAGTATTTCCTCTCCCATTCATTCCAGCCGGGAAGTGAGGGAAAACAAAACTCTAAAAATAACTGTCAGCATCTTAAAAAGAGAAAGGCTCACCCCCCCCCCAACCCCCCCCACCGCGCCCCATCTACTCCCGCCCTTCTCTTCTCCCTCCTCCCCGCGCCATGGGGCACATGTCTGCTTCTTACAACACCAAGGCACATGGTTCCAGTTAAGCTCCGAACCCCATCAGGACAGAGGAAATCCACATCTGTGGGACGCTCGGCACAGAACCCCCTCCAGCGAGGGAGGCCGGGGGACTGCAGCACGGAGATGAAGGGCTGACCGAGGGGACGCTGCTCATGCGGTGAGAGGCAGCGCGCGGAGGCGGCGGCGGGGAGCGGGGAGGCCGGGGCGGGGTGGGCCCGCGGCGGCGCCCCGCAGCGCAGCGCCCGCCCCCCACGCGCGCCGGCGATATTTGCCCGCCTTGCTGCAACTTGCTGCAGTGTTTGAAAGAGTAGTAGGAGCGCATGGAGGTGGGGCGGGGAAAGACCAGGCGGAGCGGTTGGGGGTGAGCGCACGCGGGGAGGACGGGGTGGGGAGGCGGCCGCGGGGTGCGGGGGGGAGGAGACTGGAGGAGGAGAGGGGGGGTCGACCCCGAGGGGCTGGATGGGATGGGGGGAAAACGGGGTGGCCCGGCGCTTACACATGTCACATGTGCTTTTTAAGACGGCCGGGAGCGCCTGCGAGCTGGATCTGGTGAAGGATGCTGCGGCAGGTGCTTCACAGAGGCTCCAGTCGTTCTGCCACAGGCTGGGCTTGTGCGTGAGCCGGCACCCGGTCTTTTTCCTCACCGTGCCCGCAGTCCTGACCATCACCTTCGGCCTCAGCGCGCTCAACCGCTTCCAGCCCGAGGGCGACCTGGAGCGCCTGGTCGCTCCCAGCCACAGCCTGGCCAAGATCGAGCGCAGCCTGGCCAGCAGCCTTTTCCCCCTGGACCAGTCCAAAAGCCAGCTCTATTCGGACTTACACACCCCTGGGAGGTATGGCAGGGTGATCTTCCTCTCCCCACCCGGGGACAATATTTTGCTCCAGGCTGAGGGGATCCTGCAGACCCACCGAGCCGTGCTGGAAATGAAGGTGAACCACAAGGGCTATAATTATACTTTTTCCCATCTGTGTGTGTTGAGAAATCAGGATAAGAAATGCGTGCTGGATGATATTATTTCAGTGCTAGAGGATCTCAGGCAGGCTGCCGTCTCCAATAAGACAACAGCCAGGGTGCAAGTGAGGTATCCCAACACTAAATTAAAGGTATGCTCCTCCTGCATGCTTCTGCCAATAAAAGAGGCAGCATTTCATTTCTTGCCCTAAACAAGCAAAGAAAATGCAGGTCTCATCCTTAACACTCAGAAGCTGATGCTTCTTTCATTTCTGGGGGGGAAAATGGGCAACTGAGTGAAGAAAACAGGCAATGAATGGTACGACTAGATATTAAGAAATTCAAAGCCAAATCAAACAAATGCCAAAAAAAATGAAAAAAAAAAAAAAAGAAAACAAAAAAGTTTCTGAGACCCTGCAATTACATCTTTGTTCAGGGTTAATAAATCAGCGAATGGACGGGGGAGGGGGACTCCTGAACAATTGGGGGATTTCTTTTCATTATTGGGGCTCAATGTATTTCTTATTACTGATTACACATCCACCTATTTCCATCTCCAGCCAGGCTTGATTTTGACATGTAGGGAGTTTGTAGATTGGTGCCCTGTGAGTGTGTGCCTGTGGGATTTGAATGTAGTAGTGATTCTAGGAATTATGTGTGTCTGCACTTGCATAGCAAAAGAAGCAGAATTTTTCTATGTATAAAAATAGGAATGTGTAACTAACTGGCACATTAGTTTACTTAGTCCTGCCATCTTCCTTTCCCACAAAAAATTCAAACCAAAGCAGGATTATAACAGCCCAATAACAAAAGGAAAGAAAAATAATCTCACAATCAGCAAAATTATAAGGAATGATCATTTCTGCATTAAATATATCACTCTGTTTGGACACTCGGTTCAAATTTTGTCACTCAAATGAGATTTTTAAACCCATTCTACACTGTCAGGATTGAACTGGTGCAGGCAATGAGGCATGCAGTCTCCAGGTGACTGAAGTTTCAGGACAAATGTGACTTTCAAAGAGTCAATGCACCATTTGTATGCTCAACCTGGTGCATGCTCAGAAGCTGTACAACCAAGAACTCCCAAGACAAGTGTTTCCCAACAAGAAGAAATGTTCTTTCTTCTCACGTGTGTAAGAATGTATGTGTGCTCCCACAGAGCTAATGGGATAGGAAGAACCCCAGCTTCAATAAATGATCAGTCTGTATCATTTAGTGATATAGAAATTCACTAACTGCCTAATTATTCATTTCATATAATCAGCTTCTGTACAAAATTAAAATTTTTTTCTCAGGATTTTTGAGAAAATAAAAACCTTTTTCTTCCCCAAATTAGAGGAGCATTTGATACACTTAAGAAACTGCAGGTTCCTCAGAAAACCTCGTAACCTGCCTCCTTTTTTAACATGGCATCCTTGCTTGAGTGGATCCTGAGGCTAATAAGGGTCTCAGCTTTACAAAAGTGAGCAAGCCCCTTGAAATTTAATGAAACTAGACAGATGTTGCGTCAGCTTTCAATCTAGGACTTGCCTGCTTCATACATACTGATGGGAGCATGATAGGTATGTGTGGTTGGGTACCATGCTGCTCATTTCTTGAATCCTTTGCCATCATCATTATTGCTTGCTAAAGAAAGGTTGTGGTGGAGAGGTAGTCTTGTTAGTTTATATAGTCCTTTAACTGAGTTCTGGTCCATGCCAATCACCTGGAAAGAAAGACCAAAACCATGTCATATTTACTCTTCAGTTTGCTTCCTCTATGGAGTCAAGTTTGTAGTTCATTGATATACATTATTAATTGGGTCTCACCTGCCTTTGCCAGCAATACTCTCCAGGTGAAAGAGCTTTGTCTAATTAGCTACTGTGAATATTTTGTTTATCTAGCAATATCATTTTGATGGTTATAGTTCAAACCCCTGAGATACTCATTTTACTCATTTCATAATCATTGGTTATCCTCATATGATTTACTATGGGCTCTCTAAGAACATGAAACAGATATTAGGCCAAGAAAAGCAGGGTTTTTATTTTCATGGGGTTCAAAGTATTAGATGTCAGCCTCCTCACCCACCCAGAGTTACTTGCAAGCAGGGGCTCTGCCATCTTTGGGTGTACCACTGAGTCTACACCATGCTAGGCTTACAATTAGGAGATCCAGCTAAACTTTTGATTAGTTGTTGATATACATCTTGCTAGGAGTCAGAATGTAATCACAAAGAAATGGAGTAATTGATTACAAAGATTAAGGTAGTAGCTAGTAGAATTAGTCTATTAACCATAAAACAAACAAATATAAAAGATGGGCTAAAGCCTTTATTCTGTTATATTCTAATATCAACATTTCCTCGGATATGTTGGTTTGACCCTGACTGCATAGCCTCAGTGGGGGTCCTTAAGCTATGTTAGGGTAAATGAGTCCTTTGAGATCAATGGGTCGTCTCAGGTACAGACATAATCTGACACACACTTATTCAGTATAAACTATCATTTCAAAAATACTGTGGAAACCTAGAATTCTGTCACTGGGATTCCAAGGGCTCTCAAGATCAGAACTCCTGAGCACAGAGCTAAGTGAGATGACCTTTTGTGTTGTTTGGAAAATATTTTAGTTCATGTGTGGCAGTTGTTTTCAAACTGGGTCTCTATGATGATAATGCATGCTAAAGTTTGATAACTACTAATGTGTGGGATGTGAGGGAAATTTAATATACACATTTTTTAGCTTCCTCTAACATACATGGGTCACTATTGTTCCCACCTCTGTCCAATATGGAAAATTTTAGTGCTGTAATATTCTATTGGTGGTCAGGAATTAGGGGTTGAGGGAAACAGCAGAATAAGTAGCAGTGGCTGGATAATGGGAGCAGGAATTGACAATCACTTAGCATGATAGAGCAGCCGGTCCTTACTGGGAGATAGTTTGAAGATATGTACACACTGACTGATAGAGAGAAGTGGCCAAAAACCTGAGTTATGACAATCAGAAGGTCATCTTCCAAATATCCTTAAGACACCCAAGTAGACCTGAGACAGAAGGATTTAGAATTTCTGATAAACATGATTATCTTGACAAGGTGACACAGACTGCTTTAAGCAAGGCCACAGTAAGTTGCTTTCTATGGAAATCCACACAGAGGCTTAGATCACGCTGATACTAAAAAGAAAGCAACAGTCAGCTTAGAATACTACAGAAGAGCCCAAAAGCTGTATAGAAAATGTGCCGAAATCTGAAATCTCTACACCAGTGTAATATGAACTCTACCATCTGCCCTTGTCTTACGCCTTCTGTACTGCTCCAACCTTGTCTAGTTCTATGTACACTGTAGTCATTACAGATGCTCATTGATTAGTTTACTGATTAATGTGTGTTTTTATTCTGCAATGTCACAAAATTATCACTTTTTGAACCTCTGAGGCTTGCTTTTTTATGTTACAGGTATTCTCTACATTATCCAAATTTCTGTAACACACATATATATATAATAAAGTAATGAAATATAATATATATAATAAAATAATGGAATGTGGCCAGACTGAAATTTAAAGGAAATACTTAACATATTGTTGAGACTAGTTTCTTCATTAAAATGAGGCTGGCACTCAAGATCTGAAAGCAAGAATGACTATGGACACCAATAAGTGTTTTTATTTTATCATTCAGGGAGCCCAGGTGGTTATAGGTACGAGTTTCCTGCTTCTTAGGTAGTCCATCATGACCTCGCTTTCCCACCTGGCCAGTACCATGAAAATAAGTCTCATATGTCCCCAGTTCTTCATGTAAAAAGGACATGGATGTAGATAGACAAATATGGTCCTTGGAAAAGAATTTCATTGCAAGTCTAGAGCTCAGCATCTCAGGAAACAGTGAGAAATGAATGACGCCAAGTTGATTTCTCAATAGCCTGTCCTTCCCATTAAATTCCATTAGTAACCATACCTCTGAACAAATAGTTTGTCAGTGTGTACATCAGTCTACCACATTTGAGATATGGGAGTTTATTAATAGAAGATATGTCTTTGGTACATTCTGAACACATCCTCCATGTTGGGAAGATTTGTAGTTAATTATTCAGTTCTAATCTCAATGGCAGGACAATTTTTTCTAACACACACAAAAAAACTGATGACCAGCATTATTTTTAGAGATTTTCCAAGAGAAGTTGTTCTGTAGACCTCTTTCCTTAATTTATTCTAACACCTTTTAAGATGTATATTTTGGGATCTGCTCTGATATTTTGATTTAAGTTTCACTTTTTTTCAATTTCTTTTTGTTACTTTGTTTAGGATTTACTCATACCACAAAGGTGTTTCATGTGAAAATTAAGCTTATCTTTCTGATTGTACCTCGTAATAGGGGGAAACACTGTGACCTCATTGAATGTTCAGTTTGTGGCCTAAGTGGTTCTGTGTATTTTACACATAGTGTGCCATTTGATTTTTAAATGTTTATGACCAGTGGAATATTTTCATTCACATTTTGTAGCTGAAGACCAAGATGCTTAAGTGACTTCCATGAGGTTCCCAAGATAGTATATACTGGTCTATA